GTATCTTAAATCATCTCACTCTCTCCCCAAAAAGAATCCTTCACTAAATGACCTTTGCCTATTCATAGATAATACCATTCCCAATACAAAACTCAGCTGCATTTTGAAAGGGTATTACATCGGGATTTGCGTCAACGAAACGCCGCGTGCACGCGCATGCACGCACATTCGTGAGCCTCCCTAATAACACTTCCAACCGTCAGACTATAGCAGCAGGAGTACTGGTATGCTGCTTGGGCGCGATGCCGAGATTAAACCGTGCAGGCGCGATTACGATACGCCAGTATCCCATTGGTCGGTGGTTCGTCGAACAACAGGGGCGGAGCGACCATAATGAGTTTCTAGCTTAGCGTTCACCAGCTTCAATCCTCCTGCACTTCCCTCTCGCTTCCCTTCGAGGCTATCATTCCCTGGTTCCTCTCTCTCCACTGTCTCGTTCACTCACTCTCTCTCTTTTTCCTGTCTTCGTTCTGTCTCTGTCGTTCCCTCTTCCCACGTTGTACACCTTCTTCGTCATCTTTATACTACACGCGCGCACGCATGCACAGTACCTATTCGCCGAACGGTAAATGCACGCGATTACGCGAGTTCTTTCTATGCCCGGACACGGAGCGAGTCCGTTTCCTTTGTCCCCGCCCCGTACGACGCTCCTCTTGCGCCTCGTTTGCGACTGAATTTGTTGCTTGTATTGGGTCGTGCCATAAGCAATGCGGTTTTGGTATACCCCTTTTATTTTCAGAAATTAACACTAAAACTACCAGACATTGTTTCCCTGTCTTTCAAGTAATAGAACTACTTCTGGATCATTATTTGCGGAGAATATTTAAGTACTTTATATTTATTTACATGTTCTACAGTATGTCTCATGTTTAACATTAAAACTATCAGACGGGTCAAAACGATCCATTCCTGATTTCTTCATTTTACACTTACTAAAAAGATAACAGATATTTCTCTGAGAAATTATTAAAGAAATTAATTTAGCAATACGAAAACTGAATTGTAAATCAATTGAAGTCTCGATAGACGCAACTTTGGAGTTTCTATAGAGAAATTAAAAAAGTCAATTTGACTGCTTGGTAGTTTTAGTGCTAACCTCCTGTAGCCCAAATTTTTTTTCGTGACTAAATAGATTACAAACAAAGAATGAATGCTTCGAACTGTGGTACGTTTTGAATGTTTCTAACATTAATAAAAACAATTATTTTATAATTTTCTTTCATTTTTATTGTACAAATGCTTTCCTTCAATTAAAATGGTAATATACCGTGTATACGCAGAAAACAGGAGATATTTCGAATTGTTTAAAACTGCAACGGATTTATGGAGTCAGTATTCAAGAATGGGGAGCAACGTAAAGCAAGAGAAGTTTCATAGCATATGTTTATTGATGTTCGCGGTTTACTTTGCACAATGGCGTTTCCTGGAAAATGCTACGGTTTACTCTCTGACGTTTTAGGATAAATATCGATTTCGCTTTTCGTTGGTCCTCCATCTTTGTATTTTTCATTCTATACATGTACCGCGAAACAGCGTTTCTGAGTATCTTGCCATTGTAAAATGGAAAGGTGTAACATTACTGGAAGTTATTTTTTACGACACTATCAATGCCTTTGCAGTGATTACCTTCGCAGTGTCACAACGTTTCGAAGGCACTCCGTGATTGCACGATAATCAAATTGCAGTGATGTTTGTGTTTCAGATTAAAGATACAAACGTAAATTACGTTACGCCATCAATCTGATTCGTGTGTACATAATTACTGACAGCGACAACGAATGAATTGCATGAAATTGTATTCATTACGTTAACTGTTTATTATTTTCTGAGTTAAACTATTATAAAGAAAAAATTAAAATTGTATTGAAAGTAAAGTTCTTCGTTTGTTGCATTTTAATAATTAATATAAAACATCGTACTAATAAATATGATGATAAAATATTCATTTTATAATTTCCATTGCAAATATTATAATAAAAAATGAAGTAAATGAATATAAATGGATATACAAATAATTTTATGGTACAAGATCAAAATATACATGTATTTATTCCCGTTGTATAAAAATTAATTTTCTTTCGAGACCAACTGAATTAACAGCGTAAATAAGAATTGAAATGAGAGATCGATATGTAATACCTACCTGATTATGCAGTTACTTTGGTTATAGGGGAAATTAGCATCTAATCGCATTGTCGATAAAAAATCACGCGATCGCTCCAAATAAAAGGTAATGACGTTATATTTCTTCGTGCACCGATGTTCCCATTTCGCTGTTGGTTAATTGGAAATAGGTTTTGAATAATGTAGATACGGAAAAACGAGCGAAAAGCAATCGGTTGCCGATCGGTTTTTCGGCTAAAATTCATTTCGTTAACTTTATGTCGGCGGCGCTTATTGCGTCCTGAATATTTCATTGCCGGCACCACAATTACCATTTCTCATCGGTGCGCTGCACGGTTGCTCAGCCCCCACGAATTATCTCGAATAATATGAAGTTAATTATTTCAAGTTATGATCAGACGGAATCCCTTCTAGTGGGGTGTTCCGTATTGCCAAAGCTATTCCTGTATTTTTCAGTAATTTGTAAGTCAACGCGCAGCTGCGCTGATCTCAGATATAAGCACATTAAGATAATGATGGGTCCAAGTAGGCAGTACACAGGTATTTGATGAATATGGAAGTTCTTCTACTTTACGTGTACTAATATTAATACTAAAATTACGGAACAGTTAAATTGACTTTTTGAAATTTCTCTATAGGAACTCGAAGAGTGCATCTATCAAAACTTTAATTGATTACAATTCAGTTTATGTATTGTAAATTAATTTCTTTAATAATTTCCCAGAGAAACATCTGTTATCTTTTTAGTAATTACAAAAGGAAGATATCCGGAGTGGGTCATTTTGACCCGTCTGGTAGTTTTAGTGTTAACCCTTTGCCACCGAATGTCACCGTAATGGCGACTTTGAGCTTTGATATCTAAAGTCGAAAACGGTTAATATCGAATGCACACATTTTTTGACTAAGACAGTGCTAATATTCCTTTTAATAAATCAGTGCGCGAAATTGTATGTTTACATGCCATAGGTCAATCGTAATTTACACATTTACCCACTTCAGAATTTGAGACGAATCGGACATTTTTCATTTTTTGTTTATAAAATGAAGATTTTTAAATTTTTCGAAATTTTTTCTACTAATATTGAAACTGAATATGTATTAATAAAAAATGTATGAAAAAATGTTGATTCTAAGTTTGAACTATTAGTGTTTCGCTGTTAACTTTGAACTGGTCCGATTCGCCTCGGTCTACTCTAGATAACAAATGTGTTCTTTCAGCAACATTATAATCAGAGCAGTGCGATCTTAAAAAAAAAAGTTAATACTTCAAATAACAGTCTTCGTATAGCGAATTTGATTTTGTTATTATCACAAGAAAATAATACTGTGATTTAGATCACTCTGGTTTTCATCTAATTTTTAGAAGTTTGAGGTAGGTTTGAGCCAAAGCATGTTTACGAGCGAAACCAAAGTTCTCTTCTCTGGTAACTATATTTACAACGATATCATCCCTTAAAATATTGTAAAATATAAATCAACAAAGTAATTAAATATAAAATACATTAATAAATCGATATATAAACGATCATATCTAGTTTTTCTTGTTCACAGTAGATTAACTGCAAACTTACCGTTATAAATTCAATATTATACTCTTTAGATACCATACTCCGCTGTAATGGCTTGACGCTAGCAACGATTGAGATCAAAAAGTTGTAGCGTCCCTATTCTCACTGATTACTTAACACTAAAACTACCAGACTGGTCAAATTGACAGATATAACAATTGTATAGATATAACAATAAAGAACCCATCAAATCTCGAGAAATATATTATTCTAATTTTTATAATAATTTAGAAATAAGTCCCTCCAATTGCCATCGATAGTTTTAGCGTTAAGCCAGAACAAATAAAGATGGAATGATCCTTCGGTTGTCACTTTACACCAACGCAGACCACAACGAAGTGAATTACACAAACCTTTAACCGCTCAGCGGGATGAGGGTTTTATCCCTTCATTTACGCTGGATTTCCACCTATATTCATTTTCATTCGCGTAAACCAATTCCCGTAGTACAAAAGAAAAATACATATTTGTCTGGCATAGCTAAAAAATAACGATAACGACATTTCAGAAAACAAAAGCGAATTTTATTCGGTGTCACTAAGTTTTGAATGTCCGTAAACAATATCGCTCAAATAGTGTTACGATTTACGTAAAAAAGAGACTTGCGTGAAAAAATTACCGCGTAAACGGAGGGACGAGGTGTAATTACCGAGTTGATGGAAGGAAATGTTAAAACGTTGCCGGAGTCCAGTAGGGGGTTAATAGAAGAAGCGAACCGTTCATTTTAACGTGCATGCGCGAGCACGCCGCGCCGGGGGTTCAACGAAAACGATCCGCGGGCATTAAATCGGCCGAGTATTCGCGAGTACATATTAACTTGGCCCCGTCGCTTCGCATTAGTTCCTTGATACACGTAGCCTCGCATAATTGGATACAACTAGTCGTCCATTGCTATTAAACCTGTCTGTTTCGTTGCTTTTTCATCCGACTGGCTATTTTAGCGGGGGCTCCACCGTGATAGCCGACCTCGGGGCGGTGCCGGCATCAAGACGCCCGGCGAAATTGAATGGCGAAGAAGGATCTCGTCGGGATTTCTACTGAAATGTGGATTAACGTTGCGCCCTCTGCCTCGCCCCTCTCCCTCATCCCTCGTTTCCTTCATTTTCCCGCCGTCGCCTATCGTTCTCCCTCATTCTCTTCCTCTTTCTCTTTCTCTCCCACCCCTCCATCTTGGTTCCCTTATTTTACACGCGTTCGCGCGTTTTATGCTCGTTGCTCTCTTTTTACGAGTTCTGGAAATCGATGTCGACAACGAAGAATTCGTGAATTATTTAGGAATTCTCGTTGGTGCGCGGCTCCGTTGTTGGTCTAATACGAATGAGCCGGTATCCTTGTCGACTCTGCATTCTTCATGAGAATCGCATTGTGCGCTCCGCCTAAAACGGACGTGAGAAACTCCCAACGTATTCTTTTACCTCTGCTCCTGCCGTTCCATTCTTCTCCTATTTCTTCGTCTTCGCTTGCTGTTGCTTTTTCTACTTTTCTTCTTCCAGTATTCTTCTTCTTTCCTTGCTTTTTCTTATGCTCTTTTTCTAGCTTTTTCTTCTCCTCTTTTTCTTGCTTTTCCTTCTTCTTTTCTCGCTGCTCCTTTCTCCGCTTTTCTTCTTCTTCTTCTTCTTCTTCTTCTTCTTTTCTTGCTGTCCCTTTCTCTGAAAATGAACATTCTTCCTGGTCTTTTCTTTCTTTTTATTATTCTTTTTCTGTTGTTTCATTCTGTGTCTTTCTTCTTCTTTGCTGTCCCTTTCCCTGCTTTTCTTCTTCCTATTTTCTTCTCCTTCTCTATCATCGTTCTCCTTCTTCTTCATTTTTACTTCCATGCCCTTGTCGATTCCTCTTGCGGTAACTGTGCCGCGTCTTTTGCGGCCGTCGACTAAACGAGGCGAACGTTTGCCGGTCTTTCTTGCACCGAGACTTCGTGCTAATGGAAGAATGATCTCGTTGCTCTCTCGAAAATCGACCGAACTTACGACAACTATTCTTCAGGTTTTTTTCGTTGCGCCACTGTTCGGCATCGATGATTTCGGGTATTCGAATAGTGGAACGAGGTTTATTAAAATCAGAGTCTTCGAATCGGAAACTGTTACTCAACGATAAAATGATTCTATATTATTGGGTTTTATTATAGCCGTGTAATTTGGTAAAGAATTTATGGAATTAGGAGTCTGGGGAACAGCGAGAATTTAGGACTACTGCTTTATTCTTTATTCAGGCATTTGAAATAGAAATGTTTAAGAACAACTTAAAAGAGAAGTTTTTCAATTCAATTTTCTTTAATACTAAGGTAACTTCTACGAGAAAAGTGTTTTTTCACGTTTTTTGTTTTCTTATATACGAATGGATTTACCGAGTACATATAATCCATCTAGCTAAGGTATCCTCTAGAACTAATTCCTTGCACGTAGAGGAGTCAAGCGAGTTTTCAAGTATTCTAACTGAATGAACCGATTAAAAGGTACAATTAGTGCAAAAGTGCAATTACTACTCAGATTATTGTATTATCTGCACACTGTTAGCTAATATACATGCAGTCACATTATTGCAAATACAATTTTCTTGAACATCAACCTTTTTCCTAACAAGCCTAATGCATTATAATTTTTTTCGTTCCGAACTTCACTTTGAAGGGGTACTTCGAAAAATTTTATCTCGATTTTTAATTTATCCGGACTGTTAGTCGGCCAATTAAGTCGGATAATCGATATTCTACCGTAGTACATTTGTTCTATTTGTTTCTTCCGTTGGAAGTTAGGCTAATTGCCTGCCTGGGTACCCTATGAGTGGCTTTGCCTCTCTAAATTGCACTCAATACCGTTCAGTTAACGGAATGACTGATTCCGAGCAACAAGGAATAGACCTTTTTTACGTATGGCGTACTAAGCACTGCTGACACTAAAACGGTAAATTTTTTAACACAAAACTACCAGACGAGTCAAAACGACCCATTCCCGCTTACTTCGTTGCAATTATTAAGAAGATAACAGATGTTTCTCTGGGCAGATATTAAAGAAATTAATTTAGCAACACACAACCTAAATTGTAAATCAATTAAAGTCTGAATAGATGCACTCTTGGAGTTTCTATACACGAATGTCAAAAAGTCAATTTAACCAGTTAAAGCTTGAAATTTTGATTTTTCAAACTAAATCTTACAGTTAACAGGTTAACTGCTTGGTAGTTTTAGTGTTATAACATGACGGAGAAAACAAAACGGTTGGGTAAATGTTTCAAATGAATATTGACCTTATTTAATGAGCTGCTCATTTAAAATTATCTGTAGTTGGCTGTTGCTGCAAAAAGTTGAGCAAATTAATCTGCTGTCTAGCGAATGTCAATTGGCGTATAGGTCTTTGTTAATGGAAAGAGAAAATTAATAATCGAAAGGGAGAGACGGAGACCAAGCGAGCTTCTTATTCCCCTACCTCTTGTTTGGTCATGCGTATAAATCCTATCAACTGTATCTGGTAGGCTGGTAATCGATTTAATGCCGTGCTTCATTTACAGTATTGGGTTAATGCAACAATTTTGACGTTTTTTGAACGTGATCAACGAAAAAATTTTCTCTTCGAAACGAATGATATCTGTTTTCAAACTATTATAACGTGTATACAGAACACTTCTTTTTTCGTTTTTACTTATTTTTGATTTAGCAAAACTTATTATAAAAAATTTGTTAAAAAACCAATTAATAATTTCTTTGGTTTTATATTTTGTATGTATAACGAGTTCTTTAAAGTATGTCAATATTGTACGTGAGATATTATCATTGTACGTAATAATATCATTGTAGGTAAGAATTAATTAAAAAGAATGAAGTATTTATTAGAAGCAATATTTAATGAATTTTCCTGTAAATACTTATAACTCGAATTCCTAACACATAGTATTGTACTTATTAAAAATATCAAGTAAATATTATTATAATTTTATTATTCAGTCTTTGTTCAAGCGTAACATGAATATTATGTGTAGCATATTAATTAGATATATTTAAATTTAAATTATAAAATCTATGTCCACATTCTTTTCTCACGCTAAGTAATTCGAATCAAAAATAACCACCCACTTATTACAATAGTATTTATTTGCTTACATTAAATAATAATAATGAATTAAATATACTTAAATTTAAATTACAAAATCTATGTTTACATTATTTTCTTATGTTAAGTAATTCAAATCAGAAATAACCACATACTTAGCATTCACTTTTTCTTTATACACACGTGCCATCGAGATGGCTACCGTTGTGTTGTATTACAAATGAATCAGGGAGGAACGCATTCGACACTGATTTCCTCCGCCACGAAATCTCCTGAAAACTCCTCCGTCCCCGATGGTATCGTATCCAATCTTGGAGAACTGTAACCTCCTAAAGCTAGCCCCCGCCGGATGGAAGGTGAGCTAGGGGTCTAATCGCGTTAGATACTCCGTTCGCCATCTTGCTTTCTGGTCACGTATCGCCGTAAAACAAAGGAACATTGAGCGAGCGCACGGCCAGAATACGCACCTTAATATTTAATCCCTCATTATCGGGACCGGTTCCTAGCTTTTGAGACAATTGGCAGTTTTACTACCCAATGAGAAGTCTCGACCACCACTGCTGGAAGTGGTATTATGATCACACGTGCCCATCGCACTTCGACCCTTTATTCGCCGAGGAGGACTGTGCCGCGCATTTTAACGTTGGCGAGGTATGACGTCAACCGATTTTATCGCACTGACAATAAAATTTATGTAATATATTAACCCATTGGCCTATGCCTTATTTCTTAACTATGATCAATACAACTAGTTTATCGTTAACTCCTTGCCCTACAATATGATGTCAGACTCGTGGTGAAGATTTCAAATAGAATTTAACAAATATAAATATTGCTTAATTTCTTTATTATTCATTCTAATGCTTTTGAGAAAATGTAGACACAGAATACGTGTAAAATTTTCCTCTTTTTCTAATGAATTATGAACAATAAAACATCTCTGTTGAGTGCAATTGAAAAAGAATTCATACGGCAAGGGGTTAATAATTGATTAGAAACAGAGAAATTTTTTATTCTAATTCTATGTCGACAGTTACTCCAAAGGTTAATAATTGGTAATAGAAAAGTATTGTTCAATTTCTAATTAAAAAAAAATAAATCACATTTAGATTTTTTAAATTCGGTTTAAAATTTTCGTCATGAGTCTGACACGATATTGTAGGTCAAGAGGTTAACCCTCTGATTGCATGAATTTTTATGAGTTAAAAAAATGGTTGTTACTCTCTTGAAATGTTGAGGCAGTCATGAAATAAATAAGAAAATATTAATAAACAATGTTATTTATCGCATTTTATGGCTGTTCCCATATGGGAATTTCATATATGTACATACAAGTACAAAATAAAGAAAAATGTCTCGAATATACATTTGAAATTAAGTTTCCTCTTGAGAGTAGAATGCAATAAAGGGTTAGTATATATCTCAGTAAAGTAATTTGTAGTTTTAATTTTGCTTTGCATTGGGATTAGGGAAAACTGCTTGCAGATGGAAGCTAAGAATATGAATAATCAAGGGATAGGAATAACGCAATAAGTTCGATACTGTTCTTATGTACTTTATTCATATAATTTATAAATATAATTTATATTGATACTATTCTTTTTTATTATTTATCGAAAATGATTAAGAGTAATCAATGAAATTAATAAAAATTCGTGGAGTTTATATAGCTATATACCTTGTCAGTTATCTGATACTGAAACAAAAAATATGAACTATAATAAAGCGTTATTAAAAATATTTTGTTTACTTATAAAGTACTATTAAAAAAAAAGTTGGTGGTTAGAAACAGTGTATGATTTTTTTTTGGTACAAACAAAGATCTTATACAATGTAAAATATATGAAAGTTAGAACTAGATAAATTTAATGAGCCCTTGAAATTATATCTGCTATCATTTATATTAAAAGGGATACGAGGTAATGATGCAGAATAAAACGTTGAAGGTACATGCTTTTATAGACTGCGGCAATATTTTGCGCGTGTTGCAGAGAAATGGTAGCGGAGAAGAAATGTAACGTTGAAATTGAATAAGAAACCCCAATATCTCTCAAAACAATTGACAGTTTCAGTGTTCAATAAGGTTTCTCGATGCCGACGGCGGAAATGTTACGAACATGCGTGTCAGTTACTCGGATAAGCGATACAGTGAAGACTGACGCTCGTATTTTAGTACGTGCCGGTGTTTTTTCCTTTTATTTTTTCCTCAATCATTAATTTAAACCATTTGCCCTTATTTCTCTGATTGTATGAAATTAATAAAAATACTGTAGGGTAAAACGACGCAAGTCAGATCAGTTCAGACTTACTAGAGGAAAACGAATAGTTAAAACTTAGAATCAATATTTTTTGCATAAATTTCTTATTAATACACATTCAGCTTCAATATCAGTAAAAAAATTTTGAAAAACTTAGACATCTTCGTTTTATGAACAAAACACTGAAAAAAGAGAAATATTCGAATCGCCTCGAATTTCGGGGTATAGCTAACCAAGATCTACTTGCAGAATTCTTCCAACAATATGATAAAAAAAAACTAATTTCTTAGATTACAGATAAAAATACATCATTCCTTTCATTATTTAATAATAGAATTACCGGGCATTTAATACAATGAATCTGTAATCCCTATAAAAAATTATAACAATAGATATTTTTCGATTTCTTCATGTATTCGCTAAAGTATTCAAATGAGACTGTTTATTTTTTAAATCATTTCGGATATTTAACAATTTTAAGATATCAAGAATTGCTAAATGAGAACA